CCCCCCCCCCCCCCCCAAGTAATACAGATTTGGTTCTTATCAAATCAAAGTTTTGAACGAAGAACAGACTCCATTTACTAAGAGAATTAATAGTTGCTCACAGCAAGTACTATCAATAGTAGGGCGAATTCTAAAGTGTTTTTGTTTACAAACTGGTTGTAGTTTTTACTTTTGCTGTAATCAAATATTCAAATTTAATGGGTTTTCAATTTTTCGATGATTTCATCTTTGGATCATTTCAAAAGGCGGTTAAGATGTGTAGCGCTTTGAACTAGTTAATTCACTCTTTAAAACGAGTCGCAAAGGAGATAATTTCGCTTTTGGCTGCGCTTTTAAAGCATCTTTTACTCTTTTATCGTTTTGACATAAGAATTGAAAATTTAAAAAAATTTGCAGAAATTACTTCGTCATGATCATTTCTTGTCTCGCGCGGAATGTTCATCAGCTGAATCACAAGTTTTCAGTAAAATTCATTCTGGGCAGCTCGTGGTGGTCAGTGTTTGACCACCATTTGGAGCAGATAATGAGATAATGAAGTTTTTWCAGCTGATTAAAGCCTAGCATTATAAAAGTCCATTTTGTGTCAGTACCCAGTGGAAGTCTTATTGATCAGAAACACATTGTCTGTCTTTATTTGTAGTCTCTTATATAATTTTTTGAAACATCCCGATTGACTGAAAATATTGCATGCGGTAGACGATTGCGCCCGACTTATGTGATTCATTCTTAAAGTGATTTGTGTTTTAGCAAAATAAAAAGGTGTAGAGTAATAATACAATACAAATGTTATCTCCTGAGGAAAATGAAATCTCTTGTTATGCAAAAACAGTCATTGCTCCTGCCGTGAAACTCCAGRGGCATTCCTGACTTTGTTTTATTTTGAATTAGGGTTTTTCCTCTGACTTTGACATGTTTGATCCGTCCAGAGGTTGTTTCAGGATATATCGATACATTAAGGTTCAAAACAAAAATCTTGGGTTAATGTTAAGCGGTTTGTCGTAAAGTGTGTTGACGGGGTCTAAAAGCAGCAATTTATTACGTTTAACACATATCCACAAGCTTGGAATGAAAATAATTTTTTAAAAACCCGGTTATTATACTTAATGGTCTTTAATGATCTCATGAAAGGGAGTGCACTCTAATGATCATCCTTTTTTTAAAACACTTAAAAGTGTTTTTAAAAAAAATGATCATTAGTTTGCACTTTGCAAGCCAGGGCACAAGCATGGTTTAAACTAGCTCACGGGATTGTGGTACATCGTTCTTTTGCTTCATACTTATCCACACCTGTTCATATTTAAATAGAATGGTGGCCAAGTGTTACTGGGGTGCCTGTGACCCTGTTTCTAGTGGCTATTTATTTGTTACGTAGTAGTAGAAATAGTAGTACTTATTAATACTTGAAAATAAAGTGATTATTGAGAGGCTAGTCGGTACTAGCGTACAGCCAGACTTCAATCTATACATGATAATAAATAACGTTGTTTCCTTGTATTATACACGGAATCGAAATATGGTCATCAATTTGAATAACTACTGTTGTGCGCTGACTAGCGACTGACTATAGCTTCGTGTTCACGTGGAAACATAAAAGCGTTTTCACATGTATGAGAGGCTAGTCAGTGCAGAACAATGGTTATTCAAATTGTTCGGCATATTTTGATTTGTGGTATTATCCAAGAATCTTGACAAAAAGTACACTAGAAAACCGCCAACTCACTTAAAATACGTACAGATTAAAACTGTCGTTTTAAAAGACGTTCATGGCAAACTTTCCTGCATCTGAAACTACATCATACTAGAAGTAAAAATAAATAAAAAATGGGGGTCCCAGACTTCGTTTTACCTTCAAGATACGTGGAACTTCCCCCTTTTTAAGGTAAAAACGCGCGAACAACGTAGACATGGAAAGCTGTCAAAAGTAAGCCATAATTTACTGAAAAAAATAATCGATCTTCCCCATTTTTAAAGAACTCTAGAAAATAACCAAATAATTAGTTAGCCCTTTTTCGTATGGTCTATCAACATGGCTACCATGAAAGCTTTCTTGAGACTTTTAGCCATTCGAAACAATTCCGAGGTTGAGTTGGAATTGTAGTGCATTGTGGGACTGTCTTAGGAGACATATTGCATTGTGGGACTGTCTTAGGAGACGTATTGCATTGTGGAACTGTCTTAGGAGACGTATTGCATTGTGG